CCTTCTCCTCACCAACACTCTTTTCTTTAAATTGGATAAATTGTGCGTTCCATCCTCTTTGATTTTCTATAGGCCTGCCTCTTTTGGCTAATCACTCCACTTCGTAGCAGCCTTATTGTTGGTCCTTGCTGGGCTTTTATGTAGTCTATGCACCCCTCGCTACATACCCAGGACCACATACATACTTAACACTTACGACTGCTGGCGTGTTTCTCCATGGAGTTGCCAGGAAGATAGTTACCGGTCCTTGCTGAAGACTTGAGAAATGTATAAGCCTTTTTTGTGTCCTTTGTTTCCTAACTCGAAGAATTGTTCTGCAGTCGTCGGTTCAGTTATGGTGGAATCGTTGAGCAAGCAAAGTTAGCATGCTCCGCATACGTCGCGGACAAATTGCAGGTCTCTCGCAAGTCGGGGAGATAATAAGCATTTGCTATATTAGATTATAATGATTTATGTCTTCTGCGAAAAACAGTATACCTACTAGGAAACTAAATACTATTTATCACAGTAAAAGTTTTATCGTCATCATCCGAAAGATTTAAAGGCTAGGAGCATTTTTGAAACTTATGTTTTAACAGCCATTCAGTTAGTCAATCGATATTCTGTTGAGCACTTTGTTCTGTTACTTCACACATCCTACCTCAGACGGTTGCTATTTGTATGTATAACGGCTAAGTCGCATTACCAGTATAACGCCAACCAGCCGTTAAACGTATTTAAATTGTTTAACAAAGATTACTACAATCTACTACTTACATGCTCACCAAGACAAAATTCAACAAATTGACACAGTCTATGGAGGATTTTTTGAAATCTGTGAAATTCTTAAATAGCAAAAAATACTCTCAATATATTAATGGATTTCTTTAATCGCTGCAATCAGGCAATACCAGGAAACGTGAGCACTATAGCCAAGCATTGTCCGAACTCCAATTTTTTGTCCTATAACGTGCGAGCCTCACTTATATCGTCGTTCTGCTGCACTTTGTACGCGGGGCATTTAGACAAGGACATAATAAAGTAGTAAAAATAGGTATAGTTAATTACTAGACTTAGACGACACTACCGTTGCCTGTTCGCTTCCTGCGTTAGTACATGTAAATACATAATTTTTTACTATTAGCGTATTTCTATTTTCTATTAACGTATAAGGCGATACCGTGTACTTATCCTTGTATATAAGTACACGGTACCGCCTTATACGTTAACAAGACATGGGGTTTCTAGTATGTCCGTTTGATAGAAATTTTTTAAATCAAGTAAGTTTATAAGTGCGACTTTCGATAACGGATTATATTTGTCTCCTGTTTCGGACTTTCTTGCTGATAGGGAGGCAAGACATACTATACAAATTATATGAAGTATGAGGATAGACACCAATATACCTAACGAAAAGATTATCACTTAAATGAATGATTCCTCATACTATTATTCACGTCGTTTTATATAATTTTTCATAAAACGACGCCTAGCCAAAGGCACAATAATTGTAATTGATTGACTGACTGGATGGCTATTAAAAATTAAATTTTAAAAATACTCTTTTAAGTCTTTCGGATGATAACAGCAAAGCTTTTACTGCGATAAATGGTATTTTGTTTTGTAGTAAGTATATGGTTTCCTGCAGACGATATAAATCATTCAATAGCAAATGTTTATTATGCATGAAAGATAAATTTATAAAAGGAAATATGTTTACATGGCTAAACATTGAAAACAGTATCTGTGTGCAATATTTGATGCGTATGAAACACCTTACATTATTGCAATTAGGTAAGTGCTCGTTGTTTTTTTTCGTTCATTTTTTGGCCATTGGGGTAACACACGATAGTTTTTTGTATTTCACATTTAGAAATCGAAAATAGCCATTGATTCAGCTTACGCTACTTAAAAACGCAACTAATTTTTTTGCACTTTTAAACCGTCTTCTTATGTTCTAATTTCTAATTAAATCTTTATATCATCTGCGTACACCTCGTGTTTATTATCATCTACATTTATTTATTCGCTCCCTTAGCGCTACTTCGAGACTACGAGAAAACGCTGTATAGGCCTTAACCACAAACAATAATGCTATAGAAATTCTAACTCGGGACAAAGGTAGTTACCACGCTAAGCTTTTAAGTACTAACTAAGCTAAAGGCTTTGGGCATAAATTTAATCCTAAACTCAATAACTAATAATTCCAGTTTGTGCAGAGGCAATGGGTAAATCACTCTGAAGGGCTTTATTTGTAACTACTAATGAGAGCCCAATCTTACTAACTCCTATCATTCGACTAGCAGTAATACCGACATTTAACGAAACTATATGGCCGTGAATAGAGAGGGCTATCCACGAAAGTAATGTCTATGCTATTATCGATAACTGTATATTTTCAGTTATCGAACACACTGAACATATCATTCCAAAATAGAACGGTAGTGTTCATGAAGAAAGTTCAAACTTTTTTGTGGATGGAAGATACATTTAAATCTAACGCTTTTTGCTGCAACGAATAATAATCATTGCAAGAGATGTTACTGCTTAATTCAGCTTGATGAACCTTGCCCAGTGTGTTACATAAAGCTCGTAAGCGTATTGAAGAACCGGTGGAAACGTAAATCAATTAAGTAATCTCTCAGTTCAAGCAGTACATTTCAGATTTATACATCAATAATGTTATTTAGAGACGTAACTTCAAACTACTTTAGTTCTAGCTTATAAAAAGTGTGAATGTTTCGATCAGTATCTTCTATTCAGTCTTTATGTAGAACAGGTAATCTTCGTTCCTGTAGTGCAAGGAAATCGATCTGAGTATAGAGGTTTGGAGGATGAATAGTCGACAAAGACGGGCGACAAAATCTGCTGAAGTAACCAGCGGGCGCAATGCGACGGTAATAAACTAGGAAGCAGTTTTTTTTAAAGTATCAACAAGTGGCTAAACTCACAGAGAAAGATAAATCTTTCTCAAACGGCATATAGCTGATTTAAAAATAACAAAATCACCCATTTATTAGATGGTGGCAGGAAAAAAATAAGCTAGAAGATAAAGATATAAGAAGACAAATAAATAAAGTCCATTGTCAAATATTGAATTTGCGTGTTTTATGGTCCTACATAGAACACCAGCCGTTTTAAATTTTATATACATGGTGTCATATTCGGTGAATTGAATGCTATGACCTCCTGATGGAGGTGAGGGCCTTCAATAATTAAACAAGCCAAAGTAGCTACTATTAGTGATCGTGCTCTAATAAAATAAAAGCATTCTGTATCTCAACAGAGTATGCAAATAGAGTTTTATATTCAGTAAACGGAACCACCAACTTTACATAGCGGACTCAGCTCAAGGTTAGTACTTTGGAAAGGAAGACGAAGAAAGCCATGAAAAGCTAAAGTTAAAACTATAATATTATCTATGCGAAGCTAGAGCAAATACTCAACGGACTTCTGGAGTGCACCCAGCCAAACGTAAACACCATCAATTGCCCCATCGCCGGACCTAGCCATTACTCTTTCGCAGACACTTTGTCAGCCTGTCCTAATAGAAGGGAATTTGATTGCAGATGTACACCTTTGACCGATCGTCATTGCCCTGAGGCTTTGCAGCATCAAGTCCGTAGTTCTCTTGCAGCTAGCCGGTTACAGTTATTTTGTTTCGTCAATTTTCTCAAGTTAGCATTATACTCCATGAATGAAAGACACTCTGCTGTACCCTCCAGGGAAAAATAGTTATCCAGTGGACTGCGTCGCACATATACACATAGACTTCCATCTACTTAAAATTTAACTTAGAGCGATCACTCTAGCGGGTGATCGCTCTGTTGGGCTGGTCGACAGACACAAATTTGAGAATGTTGTGTCTAAGTCATACTATGTGGCTGGCCAATAGATGGTTACATGAAACTAAGTTATGTGACATTAGAGAAAAGAGTCAATAGTAACAAAGTACTATTTACAACGTATAAATAGATAACGGTTATATAGAGGATCTTGCCATACAGAAATGGTATCTTAGTTAAACAGTGTTAGATATATATGGTTTGTTCATATAACTTATATATAGAGTTCGAAAAGTTACTACTGAATTACGGTATGCAGCATCTCCTAACGCATCTAATAGGTGTGATCATACCCCACGTTCCGATTTCCATTCCGGACTTAATAGTTAACGGGCGTGACAATATCAAACTCAACAGGAGAAGATACAATTATATATATATATATATAAATACTTATTTACTAGACACTAGATTAGATAAACGTTTAAAGCACCACAATTCGCAGCAGGAGAAAAACATTATTTGTCAGAGAAAGAGTGTGGCAAGCCTCACGCACAAGACAGACCAAAATTTAATTGAAAACAATTAGACGAACAAAAGTGCTAGTAATACAAGGAAAAATGGTACCTCTCAGTAGTATTTTAATACTGACTGCAACGTTAAAAGAACTTAGAACATATTTATGCAAACGGTAAGGATTACATACAGTAGGTTATATTGTAAAAATATTTCGAATTTTTTATAGAATGTATATCGAATTCAATCCAATAACAGAATCCGAACAATAGACCTGGTATAGTAAATAGATCGTTACTTGTGTTCGAGAAAGCGTGAATTGGAGCACTTAATAACCTTTCATACCCGGTAACCTTTAAAGCTGGGCTATTTAACGGCCATGTGTGCCCATCCCAGACCATGTTTTCACTCTGAAGCCGCCAGCCCTGCACTGATTTCTATGGGCTGGGCACATCCTCTGGATTGTCAGCAAATCAGAGGTTATTTCTGTAGTTCATTTTTGTATTAAGAATATAAAGCCAGAGAAAAATCATGGGCAATATACTGTTTCATTTCATACAAAATTAGCAACAGAAATAAAGCATTTTGGTTTTATTGTACTCAAAAAGCATTTATCCGGCTTTTATGATGTATAAGGTGCATCTGAAAGCATTGTACACTCACTAAATACTGTATTCTATTAAGTGCCACCGGTGCTGTAATGTACCACTTCTACATTAAAGGTCTTCATCGAAAGAGATGAGTCGTTCATAATGCATAACTGAATGGCAGCATTTGACTTTGGAGCCCGCACGGATTTTTTTTGCCATAGATTTTCCGCATGTTAGAAGATGCATCTGTTTTTCCTGAAACCCCTGGCTCATTTGTGACGTGATCTAGGGCGATCCAAGAAGTTCATTCAATAATTATCAGTAGCGCACTGCCTTAGGATCAGTTACCTACATCCTAAACAGAGTCATCTCTCAAGTGTCTAGATCCCTAACTATAGTATATGCAGATTATAGAAAAATGTACGATGGAAGACAGCCAAAAAATGTATATTTCCCTAAATCGATTGTTCAAATAGACAACTGCACTAGACTTGAATTTCTCGCTTCGTAACTGTACAGCATTGCGCTTCTGGTACAACAATCCGATAAATAGTTAAAAAATTGACGGTAACTAACTAATCTCAGCCAACTGCATCCGTGACTTAACGGTAACCACATCGATCAGTTTTACACACGAAAATCATGTGTGAAATCTTGTACCGGAAAAATGGACATACGTTTATTATTAATAGACCTGACTTGTGTATACGGTTCACTAGTTGTTGCGTGATGTGGATTATAACCTATGCGAATATAGCGAGAAGCGCAGAGCAAAGCAATGATAGGAAGGCTTCTCAAGCACATGCACAAAAGATATTTGTGTATCGCTTTCAGCAATCTCTACTATGACAAAGAGAACAAATAATGTTATGTATTTATTGCGTCACCAAAATTAAACAGAAATAATTATTGTCACGTAGTTCGCATACAGGTATAAACATTGCTTCTGTTTTTCCTTGTTTGATTCTCATTGTTTGATTAAAATACGATTGGCAACATGTGGTATCGGAACAAGAAACTTCTGGATACGTATAAAGTTATTTCCGATGTAACGGACGTATAAATTATGTGATTGCAATAAATGTACTTCCGGTCCGCCAAACGTATTTATAAGATACCCTTTCGCCGGCCTGTTATTTGCCAGTTTCCATCTGTCTAACCTTTTTACTGTGACAAATACAGTGGCAGCGGTAGGATCTAAGCGAATGCGAACGGCTTAATTCACCGCTTGATGAACAGTCTGCAGCAAGCTAATATGTCCGGAGTCTTTGTTTTTAACGGGAACCATTTGATAAAATGGCTGAGGTAGATTACAGGTTTGGCGGCAGACGGCTACCTGAACAGGTGGTTTGACCCTTGAAGCCTTATCGACGTGGCGCATTTTGTATCTCACACAGTCTAGGTCAACTCAAGCGGATGCCTTATGAACTGATTACTGTACAGGTGACATTTCAGCGGCTAATGGAGGCCTACTAAGTAAATTGCAGTACTAGCTGGTTTTTGTACATCTCGTTGATGTCATCGTAAATTCAGGGGTTCAAGAGACATCCATACCGTTTTTTAGATGTAATTTCTGTCGTTAACGCCGGCAGTGCTTGTTCGTTATGTAGGAGGTCGTATATCTCGATCGTTGAATTTTCCAGGCTCTCTTTTAACCCAGAGAAACTTGTGGTGATTACAGAACTTCCTGGTCGTGGTCTTTTACTACCGTCGAGTCGTCCCGAGATCTTGCCAAGGTTACCTAACCGCTATACAATTTGTTTAAAGCGTCCGCCTTTTCTGCGCCTCATCAGAGAGCATTTTTTTGCTTTCAAAGGGGCCCTAACAAGTGAATTATATAACACTTCTGGGAAAAGTTACCTATCGAAACATAGTGCCAACATCAGCAGGGGTGCTAGTCCAATTTGGCGTGGACGTAGAGCGCGTGCTAGCCTAGGCGAATAAACATTTTCGATTAAAAGAGAAGTGCAGCCGTCGGAGACAGTGTGCTTGGGTGTTGTTTAGACGATAAGGGAACTTCACCAATATCTGTATGGAGAGCGGTTCATCATATCAGGTCGCAGTAGCATGCTGAAGTATTTGTAGAGCAAGAGGGACTTATACCAAGCGAATTCAGTGGGTCTAGGAGATGTTGGAATACGACTTCAATGTGCAGTCTTGAAGTAGCACGACAACCCGTAGTTGTCCTGTAGCGACTATAGTAATACTCCTGAAAAGGCTGATAAGTTACGGTGCGTTATCTGACGAACCCGCATGGATTTGCGGTGGTGATTATGCTCAACAGAATGGTTCGATTTCTATTACGGGTAGTCAGACAATACCACTTCTGGTCGCGAAGCATCTGGCCGATCTTCCCGTGATCGACGACGTCAACTTTATTCGCTCTGTCACAAGACCATTTGGATTTAACAAAGACTGACTCCCTGAGGCTATAAAACCGGTGCTATTGAGTAGAGAGTATTGCACGCGTTTCGTTCATTTTTTTCGTGCCCACCGATTGACAGCCCGGGCCCCGGTAAAAACTCTCACCGCCCTTTAGAATTAGCATGGGTCCATGGAGGTGGTCTTAAAATACAAGGCCATCTACTTTTAGGACCGACTTCAATTTTTGGCACGTTCCAATATCCGCCGTTTAAGAACCGTCGTAATAGAGTAGATGTACGGCACGATTACGGCGCGTCTAAGAATTTGCTATAATCACCGGCTTCCCTGTCTGCACGATGGTCCCGACAGTCGTTTTTATAGTGAATAATATGGTCAGCGAGGTCCTAGGCGTGACACTATTCGAACTACTCCACGGGTTTAAGGCCTTGCTGTTAGAAGAGTTACTGAAGTCGCGGTTAGCCTTAGCCCGATCGTTTGGTATCCAAGCTACGGATAGAGGCCCATGCCCGGTTTCGTTAATGGAGGCGGGCTTCCGAAGAAAGAAACTTTCTTGTGCAGAACGCTCCGGTTTAGTGAGCCCGTCTTCCTATGCCTCGCATGCAGCCCTACACGTTCCGGAAGCTGCTGTCCACGTTCAAGCCTAAATGAAACGTCGAGAAGTAAGTCACACGGTTAGCCTATCGTTTACGGAGTTCACGGCGGCACCTGTCGCCGCCAATCTACAGAATCTCATGAAAGACTGAGCGCGGGATAAAGACATTCTGTTCGGTAGCATGGACGAATGAAATAGGTATATAAATTACACAATACATGTATTTCCGGTTTCGGCCGGCTGTGACTACATACATCCCCCGCCGGCTGGTCAATGGTAAGCCTCCAGCAGTCGAAGCTCGCTACCGGCGCATCAGGTACTCTTTCGCCTTTTCCCCTGATGGACACCACCATTATATGAAAGTGCTTAGAAAACGATTGTGAGCTTCTTGAAGCTTCTCAAGTCATTTCCTGTCACGCGCGATTCACTGTACTCAGCGAGGTAATAAAATAATCTACGATATAGGGAGTTTATTGTACAGGAACGGATAAGAATGCAGAAAAGGAAATTTTCGAAGAATTAGTAACACATATATGGGGTCCCAGCTGCCGTATCAATAGCTCTACGCATGTAGAGCTCTTAGTACAACGATCTAGTAACATCGACCCCCTAATACAATTGGTAAATATTGTTTGTAAATACCTTGTAAAGGCAAAATTTATAAAATTTCACATGACTATTTCTTCTTTAAACCACTCAGTATCTCTGCACGACGACGTACTCTATAAATATTGTATGCTATGAATACTTTAAATGTAACCTTAAATTTTCAAAAACAAACTAAATAAAAAATACTACGTAGATATTTAAATAATCCTGACGAACACTTTTTGCTTAAGCTCTTCATTACAAATATCCTACATTTGTCTCTCTGAAATACGTGCGTGTATCGATAATTCTTTCGCCCATTGTTTACAATCACTATGGAAAGAAGCTTCCACTCAGAGACTTAGATGTATTTTAACATATTCATAACTACACCTTGCTCAGCTACTTATATCAACTTCTGTTGGTGTTTATATATATTTAAATGAGATATCTTAACATACAGCTCAGAAACCTTAGTTACACTGATCATAAATAAACCAAATATTTTAAAATTAAAGCTACCGACATAGTCAGGCAAAGATTAAATTCTTCCCACCCAATTGAATCATAAGCAGCCTGAATAAGTATCTTGCAGAAAGCGGCTGCATGCTGTGCCTTTTGTCTAGGTAAGCTTTAGCACATGGGGATATTGACGTAATAGATTATGTAACAAACGCGTTGGAAGTAAAGAGCACTTGTAAATTTTAACAGTCCTCTGTTACGCTAATTGATGCTCGACGCCTTTAAGAGTACAATTATCTTTAGATTGTACCTCAATATCACAAAAAATGTAGAGAAAAAATTCATACATGGTTATTTCTGCGAACGCTGAACCGCACATGATATTTTAGGCGGTATCTACTATTCTCTGAGGGATTTTCAACTTAATATCCCCTTTTCTTATTTTAAAACATACTAGCTTTTAGATACATATTTTTGGATAATAATATTTAGGATTCTTCTGCATGTTACCTTCGCTCAGATTCTAGAAAGATTGTATAACGTTTCGTACACCCTGTACGGATATATTTATGTAAATATATATATATATATAGAATGTACTAGATGAGTATCGCCTAGTTTATGTGATTATGTAAAGAACGATGATCTTACAGAGATGACAATAGCATTGCACAAGAGTTCGCTCAAATTTTTCGAAAGTGTTTTTCATAAGACATTTGTTGAATAAAACCTTATATCATAAGCACACTGGTTCAACGAACCCAATGCTCTGTCTCAAATGTATAGAATAGAATTGTATTTACATGATATGTTAATAGATTAACGGTATTAGTGTAGCAAATTGTAGAAATCTACACAGAAGGCAATGCCTTGCTCGCCATATTGCTGTTTGGTAAGCGTCTTTTTAGCAAGATCATCTTTATTGTTAGCCAACAATTTTCCGCCATGCCATGCCGCATTAACTGGGTCGTCCAGTTTAACATGAATGTCGTAGAGCTCTGGAACGAGGCTCCGCAGGTCACTAGCGACTCGTTCGCGAAATCCCGGAAAAAGTGCATTGCCACCAGTTAGGAGAATATTTGAGTACATATGCGGGTGCACCTAAAATGTGGAAAATGCACATTATCAATCATCAATCATTATCATGTATCAAGTTAGGACGCTAAATGTACTCGCCCTCCCGTCATAGTACAACGGTGTGAGTGTATTTGAAAAAAACAAGCTAGCAATTATGATGTTTTATAAAATAAAACATTGCATGATGGATTATAACACATTACTTTAGCATGGTATATACGTACGTCCTTGGGCAATGACTTGACAGCGTGCGTCATTGCTTCACAGATTCCCATTTGATCAATACCAACATCAGATGGGTGAAAGAGCAGTTCTGGGACCTACGGAAAAACGGTGACATAAATAAAGTAATTGAGCACAATCATATACAGAATATTTCCTTTTATTTTAATTTTTGGTCAAAAATCGTTTGATATCAGGTCAGCTTTTTTCAGACAAAATACTTTGTTTTTCAGGAAATTCGGCTGCAGTCTTGTAAGGTGAAGAGTGAACCGCTTAGTACCAGTATCTACTTGATATAGATCAATCAATTTCAATTCAAACTTGAAACTTCAAAAAGTCAATTTTCTTCTAGTACCCACATATATTGAGACGAGCAAGCAGAGAGTGCATTTAATAGTCTAGCAGATACTCAAACCCCGACTTGAATTAACTTTTACAGTGTTTATTACTATATACACATTCAGCTGTGTAGGAGCGGATATACTATGCATTAGTTGAGTGCAACTGAAATCGACTCTTCTTCATAATGGCTCGCTTACTTGAAACCGCTCCAGGTTCATTCGTACAATCTGTTCGGTATCCGTTGCGCGCCCATTGGTTTGTTCCTTTGGTCTAACAAAGCCACGTTTAATCGACGTGTAATCAGGCAGGACATAGTCACGCCAAATTACATTATCCGGCAGACACTTTCGGGCTATGTCCATATCAGAGCGGTAATTCTGAGAGACGAAACATACATCTTCCTTTACCTAAAATGTTTGTCAACTAACTTTAGATTCTGCAAGCGTTTAGCTGAAAAGCTGTAACATCAGTTAATCTTTTAACTGTTTTTTTTTATATGTTTACATGCGTAGGACGTTGTTGACCAACAAAACCCTCAACGGATTCTCACAAACACGTCTTCAAAGAACTGGATTAATTACCTGATTAATGACGTAAGTTTCATCCATGACGTTAAGTTGCCGAAATGAAATAACATCCTTCAAATAGTTTGTAAGTTTCTTGCCTCCGACATTGATCCTACGAATTCCCTCCTTCACGCGACGTCCCTTTACATACGGTACCACATGGCTAAAAGAGTAACCGGAATCCAACACCAGACTGCACAATGCCGATGGATTCTCCTGTAGCAAATAAAAGCAAAAGTGAGCCAGTTAATTTTCTATCTGTTTGTTCAGAGTTTGCTGGGATGACGGAAAAAGGAAATGAATTCAACAAGAAAGCCTTAATCTTCCGAAAAAGCATCACTGGCATATTGCACTGGCACTAATCTATCGCTGACGGTCAATATCTCTAAACGAATCGATAAGTGAGTTTTTTCGATCAGAAGAACTCGATTCAAGAAATCCGTAACCACTCTTTTATTCTGATTAATTTAAAAAAACCGTCATCAAAAGTTCGTAATACTTGTTTTTATTACGCTCTTATGAACGTTACCCATATAGCTCATTTGAGAATTTGCTATGTAGGACAGACGAGGCATCTAATCTTAGAACGCAGAACTTCTTATAGTCAATATAATATTTCTATTATTTTCTGTGAATTGTTGTATTTTTTGGAAAAAAAACTATATTCAACTACGTCACTTACTTGGTGGTATTTATATGCAACAAGGGAACTAGGATTAATAACACATAGAGATTGAACACCGTAGTCCTCGAAGAAGATTTCTGTCAAGTTCTCCTGAATTGAGCAGAAGTCGAAATAAGGCTCGGTCAGGATAAGACCTGTCGACGAAAAATCTACACCAAGGCATTCTGAGCTGAACACATAGTCCCAAACCTGTTAATAAAATGTACAGCAATGCTTATGAACCTTTTCTCTTACATTTAACTCACGTTTTACCAATATTGTTTTTTTATTTATCTTAATATTTGTATTTATATTAATGTTTTATCAATATTGTTTGATGGTTTGTTAATTTACTAACTTTATTGAATAACGTTTGATTAAATCACATTTTGTTCGTCTTGAGTTCTTTCAATAATACTTATCGATTTGTCTACATTTTTTGATGCTACAATATACACGACGATTTCAGTTGTTATCCAAATAGATAGGCAGTAATGCATCGTCAGGCAACTTTGTTAAAATATACGACTTAGACCTACTTATCCACCCCCAACCATGATATCTTGATCGATCCCATTTACTTTTTACAGTGGAAACCAGCTTCCGTTTACAAAGGTGCACTCGTTGATTTACCTGCTTTTGAACTTCCCAATTAACGAGGTAGCCTCTTTCGTGGCACAAAATATAGTACAGCTGTGACATATCTTTACAGTCTTCGACCTGGAAAAGATCCGATAAGTTGATCCGATGATTTCTATTAAGCCACTTTAATTCTAATCTTGATGATGAAGATCTGTTTGTGACTGCAGGGCGGTAATATATTTAGTAGTAATGGCCTTTAGTTGAGAGCTGCATAAAAAATTATTCGACTAGTTGTAGACACCACATGAATTAGATGAAAAGTTTATTTATATGTTGAAAGCTTTCGGTCACAGTTATAGCGCAAACTAGTTATCTATTTGACATGTTAAATTCTGTCATGTAGCTCGTCTACCAGTTGAATTAATCCAAACACCACGTGGATCAGTAGTACTGATCCTGCTTTATACAATTGACAGTTTAAAGAACGTTACCTGGTCGCCGATGAATCGCCTCCGGGTTTCAGATTTCGCCTTCGTGATTGCGTTCGGTATTAGCCGTGGTTGGTTATCAGTGGCATAGCCGACCTTCAGGGAGTTGGCCCCGTTGTCCATTATGAACATATGCTCGGCTGCCATGACGCTTTGTCCTTTCGGATCCGTTAAGCTAAAATAGCTAGCAAATGTCGTGCTTACCTAAAAAAAACACACCACATAAATAGATTCAACTACACAACAAAACGTAGGCAAGCTTTATTATATTGGAAGTACCTTTTTTGGGCGTGCTAAATATATATTCTGACCTCAACACCGCAGTCAGATCACAATGTAATATTCACCTAGCTAATATCAGAGCACCACATCTATGCACTACTAAGACACAGGAAGCTTGTCCGACGAAGTCTAATGTAAAACGGTTTCAAATCGATAATAAGCAATAGTACCGGCCTCCCCTTGTTTGTCACTTGCTATTATTCTGAAGTTCATAGTTCAATGACACGTACTTTTTTTAGTATAGTCAATGCTGGACTACTTTAACAAGGGAGACCTTTTTATCCACTACACATACAGCAATCAATTAAGTGCTATCTGCATTTCGTTTGCGATCATTTGGGTAGCTTCACAATTGAATTGGGGCAAAGCACCGCCTTGGCGCGCATGTTGTTTGTTTCCAATTGAGTAGCGATTGGATGTAGCTGCGGCGCGTGTTCTGCAAAGACTGTTAATTTGGTCTAAATCGCCACAGATTCGGAATATATCTGATGCGATCCGTCACAACTGGTCATCGCCGTACAAAATGTAATGTTAGCTAATAAAAATCCGAAAAAAAGTGGTCGTTTGCAGAAACTGAAGAACTGCTACGGGTTCTTTCGTTCCTCTCAAAGTGGAGAGAGAGCTTTCGCTTTCAAGTATAATCAAACTGCCGGTCACCCAACTGATGTAAACAAACTACCTGAAGCAGTTATGCAAATGTCTTCATGATCGTGTTTTGTACGATCATTTCCGATTTTGTGTCATTTCGTCAAACGCTAGGAAGTTTGTGAAATTTGGTATAGGAGGTTGGCAAATAATATCACCAGTTAGTGCACCCTGTGCCATAGATATCCCGGGGGCGACAAATTGTACTGTTATCTTGACTCACTTTAGGATCAGTTAATTTTAAAATGGGACGTCGTTCGCTAACCTCTACAAAAGGAGGGAAGTTTATGAATCCAACAGATCAGGCTCGAAAGGAGGCGCGTAAAAAGGAACTAAAGAAAAACAAAAAACAACGTATGGCGGTACGACAAGCTGTCCTTAAGGGTAAAGATCCACACGCAATCATCGAAGACCTAATCAAGATTGATGAAATGCAATTCAATGTCACTTCTACTGCAGCTCCACCACTTTCCGAAAAGGTAATTTAGGCTTTAATAATCCTGTGTGTAATTAATAAATAGTGTCACAAATATATATATATATATATATACATATATATATATATATATATATATATATATACAAATACATGATTTAAAACCGCAAAAAACAGAAAAGTAAAACTAGTCTTCCTTATTCTGAATAATATTGATATTATTAAGGGCGTACTATATATTAAACTACCTATGCAAAATCTAACCCAGCGCACGAGCCAACTTACAAACAAATGCATCGCCGGGTAGCTGTGCACGGGCGACCTGAGGTGCACCTATTGCTCACACTCCATTATTGGGGATGACTAGAAACTGGCCAGTTATATTTAGCCCTGTTGGTTTGGGAAAATTTACTGATATTGTAATCTGCAAAACTGTGACAACTGCAAATAAGCGTAACCAGTAAGGCAGGGTTGTAGATTATCCACCTAACCCTAACTTTGCTAACTGCGAGTAAATGTTTGTTGTATTCTGTCAACTGCATCGATATGCTTCTTTGAATTGGGACGCTGTACAATGGAAGGGCATACAAATTTGGATGCAGCTAGACTATTAGATAATGTTATATGCAAACCGCCATTCTTGGCACCAAAGGTAAAAAAAATATAGTGTTATGTGATGTCTAAGCGGAATATACAGTAACTATGTGTCCAAGTTGTTCTGTTATTAATACTGTTATCTGCACTGATTCTGCTATCGGCTCAAAGATTATGCAGTTTTGAAGTTAATCGGTAATGAGGGGCTTTGTTGCCTCCGAGAGATCAAATTAGATGCAATTAAATAATGTGATTTCGATTTGTGTGCCCCGTTTTGTTCTATACAGACTAACTATATAGAAGTGGACCTGTCCTTGTGTAACATAATGTTGATCACCGTCCAATAAACGTTTCGGCATATGATTATTTCTTGCGGGTAGTACTAGCTCTCAGCTTATGGTGTACTGGCCGGAATTGTCAATTTCAGTTTCAGAGTTCTACTAACAAATCGGCATAAAAACAGGGTAACGGAGGTACCCAGAAATAGAGTTCTTGTGCGAAGCAATAAGCGGAGAATAATCGGAGCAATATCCGGAGCGAGGCTTTACTTAATAGGGGTTCAATATTAAAAAATGTTCAAATTCTAGGTATAAAGGTTGTTTCAGAGAAAACGATATATGGATGACTTTTGGCTGCTTTACACGGTTTGAATGAAAATAGATGCATGCAAAAAAGCCTTGAAGGTCCCAGATTTATTTTTGTCATCCTACACTAGTTAAACGTTGTCTTTCAAGACGTCTATCCCTTGAACGTCATTGATCCGTTTGTGATTATACCGAAAAAATTTTAAACAAGAAATACAGTTATTTTATATTTTGATTGCCGCTAAAGCTGTTTGAAGGCATTACTATTCTCTATAAAATGGGTCACAGGCGATAAAGTGCGTGAATCTTTCAATGCGATTTTTGAGTTTTGATGCACAGCTTTGTGCGTCGGTTTAGCTGCGAAAGCGGAGAACACAGATGATATCGTGCATATTGGGCTTACGTGTCATTAATATTAAGGCAGTAGTCGAGAAATATGAGTTGGACAGTATAACCACATTGACTTTCTTAGCCCCATAGCCTCACTTTTAGAAATTATAGCCTATCTTATTAAGGAACTATTCTATAACTTAATTTTAGTAAATCCTCTTATTCTTAAATAAGTGATCTCCTACTTTCACAATTTCCACTTATTGCGTAGAATCTCATTTCCCTCTCACACTGGATTCCAAATACACGTTTTTTCTGAGAATGTCTATTAAGCTGCATAAGTAGAAGTCAATTAAGTGAGTACTATCAGCCACACTTGACTTAGAATTCACGCAGATAAGTCATTGCGTTATTTTTTTCAGGTATTGACTGATAAACGCAGGAAACTCCTAGAAACGTTGGAACGTGTTGAAACTCTTTACAGAAAAGAAGACGCAGATAAGCATCGCGCTTTAAAAGCAATGTTTCGGGAGTATGAACAACGCAGATCGGAACTTGTGAGATATTTCGAATCTGTAAAACAGGCTGAAATGGTTACCCCCGATGAGATTCCTTTACCAACAGCTCCTACGATGATGTCGCTGGATGCATTGCAGGTTTGTTGAGCGCTTCGTTTTGAATATAACTTGGCAATTGTATTTCCTTGACAGCGAATCACGTCGCGATAGTCGTGTTCTTGAGGACTAATCCAGTGTCTTCAGTTTCACCTCTAGCAAAGTGTAACCTTTAGGTATACTCGCCCTTTTTAATATTATAGTCAGTATGGGCTGTAACCATACTGATTTAAACGGAATTAACAGAACTGTTTAATATACGTGGGCTCAGTGTTCGTCTTCTACTCACTTAGGTCATTATAGTTTACGTTTTACTTGTACAAGGTGCTACAATACATGTAAAATATTATCTAACAAAAAGCGTCAACATATTCGACTTGTCTTAGATTTTGCCTGCATCCTTCTTACATTTTTGGTGTATTTTCATGTATGTTTATGGTAGGATATTCCAATGCCGTCATCTGCGCCACCCCCGCCAGCGCCAAAGTCTATTTTGAAAAAGCATCCTTCATCATTCTTTAGTGATATGCAGCAACTTCAACAAAAGAGGGATTCAACAATTGAAAGACTGACTGGAGGCAAAGACGATCCCAAGGACAAGGGTGTGACAATCGGTGAGCATAATGTAGATATGAAAAGAAGGATATTTCTGCTAATTTCGCCTTTCTAAAAAAATTAGATTGAAAAGTTGCTTGCAATTCTCACAATAGTATTTTGAAAAAGTGTTTTTTTTCTTTTCATATAATCGTGCACTTATCTTTGACAATATTCGAGGCTCCTATAGCAGCGTCTTTTTAGTATAGCCAGGTGAGAAAAAAAAAACAAAAAAAAAAATAATATTAGCTGAATATGTGACAGATTAAAGAATAATTATTGCTGTCTTTGCAATGTGTGGCCGAAGTCTGCCATTTGAAGTTGTATCTACATTGTTACGCAGATGCAGTACTGAGAAAAAATTGGGTTTTTCTTTTAAAGAACGGCGTTTACACAGGTTAATGTTGTATAGGAAGATATAGTTTTTTCCTAGAATGTTCTTTAACATGTAATTACTGACATTACAGGTATCAGCGGCGCTCCGGGGGTACCGATCGGTCCACCGCCAAATTTGTCCGACTGCTCTGACCTAGACGACGAAGATGACGGTCCGGCTTCAGTAGCCTTGCCACCTCCATTTCCTCCGCTTGCAAAAAAGGTATAGAAAGCTAGTAAAGCAATAAATTATGTTGATAATAATCTTCATTATTTTCAGAAATGTCTGTACAACAATAGTAATAATGTACGCAAATTCTATAATTATGTTTAACTGATATTTCAAGCTTAGCTGGAACATCTTATCTGTGTAACTTTACTGAATTCATACGGATCGTCTCTTACTATGTACCCTTATGTTTTTCCAGGTTCCAGCAACGCAATTACAAGCCAATCCAGCCCCGCAGGTCAGAACTGCTAGTGAAGCAACTAGTGGAAGTGGTCAGAGCAAGCAACTGCGCTTCGCACCTCAGCCAACAACCGCAAAGGACGAAGTACTCGAATTCTTGCAACAACTTGAAAAAGTTCATCAAAAAGAGCAGCAGCCTAACCTTGGAACGCAAAACGTGCCAGGTGGACCTCCCCCGGGACCCCCTGGTCCGCCAGGCCAACAACCGCCACTGGGGCCGCCAGTGCAACCTGGAATGCTGCAACCACCTCCAATGGGTATGCCACCCCCACCCCCGCCAGGAATGTGGAACGCACAATTTCCACCCCCGCCACATCATCCCGACTTTATGCTTCCACCTGGTATGCCCCCTCACGGAGGTCCGCCGCCAATGGGTGGGCCAAAGGGTGGTCCAACACCGGGTCACCGAGGGCTTTCCGGCCAAATGTATCATCTCAACAAACCTATGTCTACCGCCGGCAAAACGACAATTCAAGCCAAGCCGCAAATGCGCAGTCTTCAACAGGAAGTGGTGAAGTTTGTACCAGCACAATTGCGAAAAAAGGGTTTATTGAGCAGTACAGGAGCGATTACTGCTGCAGGCGATCATACCGGCCGACGGGAGGGATCGGGATCCATTGGACTATCAGGAAGCAGAAAGGAATCTGGATCGGTCGGCGTACAAGGATCACAGTCAAATGCCGATGTCCCTCACAGAGGCCAGCCAACCAAGGATGATGCATATGCACAGTTTATGAAGGAAATGGAAGGGCTTATTTAGACACCGCGAATGCTGGGCGGCAGCCATTACAAACGGTTTATTAACAGCGCGACTGAACTAGTTCAATGTAAGAATTGTTAACCGTGAACCAATGATAAACTATATATTACGCCGACTTGGAATGAGCTCGAAATCGTGCGTGTGAGTTGATTTGATTTAAGGTTAGCAGCCCGTTAGTATAGTATTTGCAAACATTTTCCCGATATCCTGCTAATTACTTCAGGTATAGAAACAAAAACGAGTTACAGCTTTAACGCAGCAGAGGTACCTCATCATTTGAACATTTGACAGCTAATGAAAATGGTATGTGCTTTGCCGTCTAAGAACTATTTGAATGGAAGTATACTTGTAAACTAAGTGGGTGCATTGTATATACCATGTATGATAGACACTGTACAGAATAAATAAAATACTGTTTTATGTTATCTAAGTAGAAACGACTAAAAAACACTAACTGCTTTTATTCATTTTCCCAAATTTATTCTACATCTTTGAATTTTTTGCAGTTAAGCAATATGATATGAAGAATCACCTGGATAGTTACTGCACCCTGAAGTAGTACTACATTTCTGAAGGATTTCTTTATTTTCATGTATATATATCTCTACTATAAAATAATTTAGTCATATAACATACCTACTATATATGCATAATACAAGAATCTAACAATCTATGGCGTTAATGAACGTTAAATGTATTGCTAAGTCCACGCAGAAAGTAGTAGATTTAAATCGTAGAAAATAGTAGATAAGTGCACTAGCCCTAATTTATGATATTGGGTTAGTTTATCATTGGACCAAAATTTAAACTAAGTCTTCAGGCATTAGAGATCGCCAACCAGCCAACACTTACACTAATTATTAAAATTAATAAAGTAAACGAGTCAGGCAGTGCAACAAATTATGGTGAATGATACAAAAAAACGTATCATTCTTCAATGGAATATATATATATGTATGTATAGCTTGTATACGTAAGAATGTAAATTCCCTAGCCGTGAGCTTCTGTGCTGATAGTTTCCAACCGACGGCTTAGTCTTCCATGCAGTTACAAAGCGCACGCGTCACCTAAACTGTTAAAACGACCGAATCACAAGGCCTGGAGACCGTTTGTTCAGCCGACCCTTGCTCGATCGTACAGGGCGAAGGACAGAACCAGGAATGCGGAAACCGCTGGCTAGATAACCGACAGAAGCACATCGAGCTCGTTGCAATCATTGGTAATGGTGTCGTAGTCAAACTATGGTCTGTAGGATCGCCGGTAACGAAGCAAAAAGCGGCGCAGACTATACTACAACGGTAAAAGGAAGTGCAAGGCCGCAGGATTGTTGAAGAACTGTAACTAAGGTGTGTAGCTATTACAACGGTGGCCGATTGGGAGGCGCCACAGCAATCGGGATTTGACGTATTAACGGTTACGAGTTGCAGTTTGCCGAGACTGAATGCGTTGGTAACCTTTTATTAATGGCTCATATGTATGTCCGTTATTTATAAGCCGTTGAAGTACCGCGTGGTTCCACTACTCTTCATTTTCATTGGAAGCTTCTATGTGGGATTTCGTGAAGTAATTACCGATGGACTTTCTTTTATACAAGCTTATCCAGATTTTTGATGAAACTATTAAAAAGCCGTTGTATGAGAACATCAGAATAAGAACACTTTTGTTGAAAATTATTTGTTTTTTTTTACTTATATCCCTTAGTACCTGCATGCGCGGTTTATGAGTAAAGTAATTTCGTTGGAAGTAATAATTTAGCTCGATTATCACAGTGGCCCCATCAGCGTGAACCTATAGATGTATACGCACTACCTAAAGGATTTCAATGTTTGTAATATTTGGATTCGTGTAACCAACAATTTGCTAACCTCGCAAAATTGGTTGTCCTATCCAAGCAAACTCCCGTTACTCATCGATGACTCATTATCACTGTCGCCTAAAGCTATGATGTCTATATCTTTGGTTATTGCGTGCATATCCGCCAGGCCGGTGAATTTCTCTAAAAAGTTTTCCTCGGTGAGAGCCTTGAATATGAAGTCGAAGCCGCTTGACATGTATTCTGACACAACCTGCAGACTCACAGATATTGTATTGATATTATAAAACTTGATTGCGCAAATCATTTAAGTGCTTAATGTGTTATAATATCACTTACGTTACAGGTTTAATACAAAGAAAAATTTAGATCAAACATAGGCGCCTTTAAACTACTGTAGTTTTTGGAATATACGGCATTATCAAGCCATTTTTGGCAGGCTTCCAAACATTCGGGGTAAAAACTGGTAATTAAAAAACTGAGTGTTGACTTCAGTTCAATCAGAATAGTAACCTCCGTAAACCCACTTAAGTTCAACGATAACGTCGGCGGTTAATTCTATATCTAGTTTGAAATATTAAAATTAACAAAGAATTTACTCGCCGTATTTCGTTACTAAAAAGCGTGGTATAAATCAGTTTGAATAGAAACACTGGTGAAAACCTTGGCCCAATAAAGAATTTCCAGTTTTACGTTAGTTCTAGATGTAATGACATATTTTACTCAAAGGTTTGTTAGAACGCTATATCATATATGCGTAAGATATCTTTACACATTGTTCCCTAATTGTTCACCGCACGCTCATTTACAGACGGTTTTTGACGATAAATGTCGATAAAATTGGTAATCGCCTCGATTTCGCTCGACATTTCGGTTTCCAAATTTAAGAGCTGTCAAAACGTCCAGAACTGGTGAACATCGATGGGAATTTTAGCTCACTTTTCTCAGATTGACGTTTAAGGGTTGCACACCTTGTAAATGCAGTCGCAGTATTTTCAAACGTTTCAGCATGTTTCCTATAGTACCATACAGATACTATGCGTATTACAAGTGCTTCCGCGTATATCTTACGTAGTTCTATATACAAAATCGTATCTAAAATGAATGATCCTGAATTCTCGCAATATGTAGAAAATATACGTAAGAACTCCCAGAAATGCCTTGAAGATAGCTTGAAGTGGCTCGAGCGGTATCTGTGTATTTCTCATTACCTCTAACACGGAAGTCGCTGAGGAAGTCGAGGGTTTATTCTATTATAAGATGTTAGCTTGGTCACAACGCAAAATCTCAAAACCGCAACTTCAAATAATGTCCAAGAATAACAACATTAAGCAATGATTTCAACCTGATGCGTACATTATGCAAAAGTCAATTTGCTCAAGGGGACAACGGAAAACAAAATTATGTATAATTGCCAAAATGCTAAGGATGCAAGCACTGAACTGCTTCCAGAAAACCGACTTCTCAATGTAAGTTAAAGGGGATATTTAAGAGACCGTGGGGGGTATACGCATCAAATATTTACATAACAAGACTGTTGACTTTAACTGATTCTTAGAGAAAAAGGTCTACTATTTTATGTGTTACCGAAAGTCCACTCTGCCTTGTGCATGCTGCAGTGATTCGCTAATCTCCGAAAAAATATAAAGATAGTCCATATAAACCCATAAGGGCCTACATGGGCTTAGTATAGGCTAATCTGTTTGCGCAGCTCAACCATTTATTCAATAAAGCCAGAAGAAAACTGTTTGTATTCTGAGAAAGCGCTAAGGTCCTTGCTAAAAAAAATTACACCTCGTAATCGTTCAGTATAAAGGTAGTTAGGTTAAAGATTTTGTTTTTTATGCCATTAATCCTCGTAAGATTTTACTGCATAATGCTAAACCGGGTTTCGAATGAGTTGAGGGATAAGACAGAACTGTAACAATGCGCATACCGTTCTGCTAGAAAAATAAGATCGCGCTGAAGCGCGTGTCTTTAACGTAATGATTTATCGATTCTTGTGTCAAGGACTATCTATACAGTTATTAGTATCTGTTTGCGAAAAAAAAGCGGAAGTTTTTGATGTGATTGACAACAACAATAATGATACGCTGCGAGTCATTGTAATTAAAAAAAAAAAAAAAAAAACTATGTTTTAGTTGAGCCTAACATTGCATGTGTAAATCAGAGACCTAAATTATATTTAGAAATGGAGTAGCGTTTTCAGTTAGCTTTTCGTCAAGTTAGCCACCAATAGCACCCTGCTTCATATACAGTGGTCCATACAGTCCCTAAGACGATTGCTTAATACAACTAGATGTAATATCATATACAGATATATATAAGATCATAAGCTATTTGTTTCTGGTCAATTTTGCACAGAAATCGTTTTGGCACAATGGATTGCTTGTTTTATCTCACTATAGCCCAGTATGCATACACTAACCTAAAAAAACAGCTGGCCCAGATAGTTTGAAGAGTAACTGAAATTTTCTTTAAAAGTTACAAGATGTTTAATGTTACTCACTCGAACCGATACTTGAACATACGATTAAAAAACAATCGTCAATTAAAAAAGGCTGAACATTTTGTTTGGCATACTTTCATGTGTCAATGGATTACTTTTTTCTATGTTTTTGCTAAGCTGATCTACCTTACCTTAGGCGAACAGGCAGTGCACATATAGAACGCTGTACTGTTGGGTGTCATAAAGTGGTACCGAGACAGAAAATACCGGATCTAGAATAGAAGCAGGGTGACAAATGCGCAGCAAAGAAGGATATGAATGAGACTTATGAACATGACCTATCTACGATATCGTACATGTTAACCTTACATTGCCATACCTACATCGAAGGAAAGCTATTACTATTATTTTTATGTAGGTAAAGAAACTATCATAAAGCGCGTTGATGCAGAAGCATAACTCAAGGCGCATATTATCGATCGTTTGTAATATATGTAAGTAAGTCGTTTGAATACCTGATGAGGTACCGGCCCTAGCACACTCGAGTTGTTTAACGCTGTTCCCACAAGATCGGTTGCACACCCTTCAGGATCTCCGATTTGTTCAACGGGACTTTCAGCTGGAGCATCCTTTATTTATACGCATTATAGATATATTCATATTAGTTGAATAATACTAATCAATAATGAATAACATTTAGTGCTAAAGTAAATGGTTAGGGTGCCTCTTACGTTTATGATAAACCATCTATTCTTGGGTGACGATTTGTATCTACTTTATTGTATTATTTTGAGTCTCTCTAGATTTTTGTCCGTCCGCGTGTTTGTGGCTATTTAACCCAAAACGAAGCCGTAATTGATATTCCTTAGACCAGCTGAAATTTCATCCTGGGGTGAACCGGGCGTCACATCAAACTGGTTCAATCCTTTTTTTCGGACGGTAATCTCATCTTCCCGTAGAGCGTAATATCTTTTTAGACAAGTTAGTGATTTTTGCGGTTTGCGTCACAGACACCGATGATTTGAAAAGTTTAATTTGAAAGTACATTGTTTCTCAAATAAAATGTGGAATTTGGAGGCGAACTTTTTTTTTATATGTCTTCTGCTTAGTGGTGAAATAGTGATTTTTGCTGAAACGGTTTGATACTAATAAAGTATGAGCCCTTGCAGCATATATAGGTCATATTTAGATGGATGAATATTTTCTTCCAAAATAATTTTTTTCTCATTATAGAATATAATGATAATCGGCATAGAAAATTCGTCATTAAAAAGTTTTTTGTTTTTCTCAGCGCTACGAAGTGGGTGCAATTGAATTTTTCACATGTATGTTACTTAGTCGTAAAATCTAGTAAATTTTGCCGACACTGTTGAGCAATGATCCACTATGAACCTTGTTCTCGACATATGAATCATATTCTCTGCTTAGATTAATACGCTTTTCGAAGAAGGACTTCTTTCTCCCGTAGTGTAGGTTACCAGAACAGTCGAATAAAAAAAAAGAATCATTCGTTCATACGGTAACCAATCGCTACTGGCGTCATAATTGCACCAAGGTAATGGCTTTACTATAAGACAATCACTATACCAAAGAAGTATGATTGCTGCTACTGAATAATTGCAACAGCATAACAACATACAAACGAGATGTTAGGAAAGCTACAAGATGCCGGTCTATAATTAGGCACTAGTATAAGTTATGTTAGATGTCACACGAATCAAAACAAATTCGTAGTAATGGATTAACGATAATGGGAGGGGACATAGTGGAGACAAGAGAAATAAATGACCATTTTTGTAGGGTAACGGGTCCATATCCACAGGGCAATTGTAATGGAGCTTAAATTATGCAAATTATATCAGATGTGACCATCTACTCTAACAGAGTAGTACATACATTAACGTAATAGAGCCTTTGAAGTGAAAGAATAGATTGACTAAGTTAGAAAACCGAATTGTGTAACGGGATAGCAGCTACGAATTAATAGAACTGATGCTGAAAGATCTTAGGAAATCGCATCCATTTACTATATAGACTCAGGTTTGCTGGTGAACTACGAATTATGTTACGCTATGTTTATAACGAATCAAATTTCTTTATAGATAATTTGACCAAATAACTGCAAAAATGATAACAGATTATGTGGAGCTGTGTCATTGCAGCGGTATTACTACCACTAGTATAATTTACGCTAAGCTGGGTGTAACATCAACGAATTAGATTAGACAAAATGAATCGCCGATAAAATAAGCATGGGGTAAAAACCTTGCGGATTCCTATATAATGAGGCGGATTCCTCTGTTTTACCTAAAAAACACCAACGTTAATATGAAGCCTGGATTATTCAAGTGGCTTACGCCACTAATCATACATTAGAGTTTTCAGAAGTATCTATAGGTCCGAATATTACCATATATTCATTATCTGTTGCTTTATATAATTTGTTATATAAAAAAGAAACGTAAGTTATATAATAATATATACGTTATATAATAATTATATAATTTACATAACAACTTACGTTTCTTTTCGGGTGTGATAGCAATGATACCATGAGCTCTGTCGCGAATCCAGCGGCCATTTGACTTATACCAGGTCGGGATACGGTGCACTAAAATTAAAAATATTATCGACCACGTTATAGGTATCCCAAGCAGTCAGCATTTTCAAAAATTGGCGTTAGTTACCAATATCAACCTGATATCGTTAAAACGGACCAGAGCTCGTGCATTTAGATGATTTACTTAATAGCCACTTGTTTAAACGCACAATTCGGATGAATATTAACAGGTTCAAAAGGAATGGACACGGGTTTTATAAGATTTTGTCTCACTTGCGTATAACAAGCCTTTTATAACTTGTACCTGTTGATCCAGTGATCGATCTCTGGTAGAGTTTGTTGGAGCTACAACGTCGTTGCAGAAGTAGCATCCGAGTTCATTCGAACCGCCAACACCATGTCTAAATTATAACAAACATTTCAGTGTGTCAAAATTGTTAGTCAATAAAAAAATTCCACTTGCAAACATCAACTGAATATGAATTTTTCTTCACTTAAATAATATATAACCAGCTTTATAATAATGGAAAATATTATATAAATACAAATGCGTTTTGTATTTGTAATCGAAGCATAATAATATAATAAAATGTGTAACAACTTAATCGATTCAGTTAAAATAAGGAAAGCGTCTAAGTAACGTCATATAAACAATACTAGAATATAGAGAGGTATTTGAATATTTTTTTAATCAAATCTTACAAAAATATGTAGTATGATATATTACTTTCTTCTATCACTATTTCTGTACCTAAAAAAGCAACTAACTAGTAACTTTTACGGCTCTTGCTAAATGCATTTTGGAGCCCATTAAGCATCTTAAATTTATGTTGACTTGATATTGCGTCGAAGTCTACTACCTCTGAGGCAATTATGATGTTTCTATCATCAGCATATGCTACTTTATTATTTTTTTTTATCAAGAAGTAGGGGGCCGTGGTAAGCGGATTCAAGGAAAACACACCTCATTACAAGAAAAGTATCGAACCCGAGCGCGGCGTTGATAACGATTTTCTTTTTGGCTGCTCCAAACAGGGTGGGCAACCACCGAGCTTCACGGGTATCCAACAAAAGGAATATGGCATCGTGATCTTCGATGAGATCTTCCAACTGTTTTATAGCTTCTGAGGTTTCTTTTTTATACTCAGGCGTTACTGTTTCAGTGGAAATTAAAATAGGAGAACGGACTATTTTAATTAATGATGCCAGAACTATACACATCCAGCAGGCAAATTTTCAAGTTGTTGAACTTAACAGAATCAGTTTTCAAGCATTATATATTTCATTTAATCTCAGTTATAGTTGCAAATGTTGTCGCGAAACATTATCTTCATCACATGCGTGCCTGTTGAACCTAAAAGGTTTATTCGAAAAACTTATTACACGAGATACGTCTATTTTGCGACAATCCTGACATTACTCGAACCAATCTCAATCAAGTAAACACGAATAGAGTAATAGCATACAGGCGTATATCGTTAGGTTAGGCAAAAATAAATATTTAGAGCAAGTAAAGATTAATTTGTGTTTTTCTATATAAGCAGTGATCATTTCAGGTACCTCGTTTTGTTAAAAATATGCAATGTCATTTTTGTTGCCAAGTCGCCTTATATTATTGCTCGTGAGTATTATTGTAACTACTAATGGTAAATCCTACCAGAACCGTGTCCCGGCATGGGAATTTTCATCCTAACGTGTCTTGCATCGACCCCGGGGAAAATTTTCTTACAGCTCTCAGCAGCTGCCTCAGCTTTTGGTCGACCTCCGTTAAGAGAATCGTCAAACGTGAAAAGCGACTGCCGGACAGGATTCGAATAAGAAACATCACCGGAATCAACGAATGTTATACGGCGAACCCCCCATCCAAGAAGAGAGCGTGCCACGTTACATCCTAAGGTACCTTTACAGACATCCAGTGTTCATAGGATCCTTGTTACTATGTGAGGTCAAGTTAAAACGCCTGCAGCAATGTTTTTAACTACGGTTGTATAAGTCAGACAGTATAAAACTCCATACATTTAGTGTGTGAAGTCAAATTAATTTATATAATAAGACCAAACAATTTGCGCGAGTCTATCACACTTTTTCCATCGTTTGTTTAATCTAAAATGATATATCGCGAAAACCATATTACCTGATCCAAGAAGAAGACACTTTGTCTTCGAAACGCATTCCAAGTTGATATCAGGGGCCAGTCTCCATCGCATCAACTTGAGATTGAGGTCGACCGCGGACTCTGCCAACATTTTGGGGTCCATTGACGACGATAGATTGAGACGCCTTGACGAAAATTTACTTTAATGTATCTTTCATTTTTTTTAAATTAATTATTTAATTACTGCACATGTTTCGTCTTTTACATACGATACATCAAGTACTTTTTGTTAGAGCTGTATTGATACCAGACAAAACGTGTTACCTTGGTTTGTTTTCGCCCTGTTGATTTTCTTCCCAGCCAACGAATTTTGATAAAGACATGAACTCCGAATCGAGACTAACCTAAAGAAATACACACAATATTGAGATGAGTGACTCTGGTAAACTCGGCACTAACGCAATTTTTTACTGTACCGTATTTTGTCAAAGGCTATGTATTTATCGCATAGGAAATACTAATACTCAGTTTGTCAGAACTATATACACACTTTTTACATCTTGTTTTTTTTAGCTTTCAAGTCAGATTATCAGTACCGGCTTGATCAGATTTAGCTGGACGCATTCTGGTTCGATTATTTACAAAAGAGTAATTACCAGCTTAGTTTACCTAGCGTGCTTCCCTTGATCTACCTGTAGCGAAACCGCTACGCTTAGGTTACACATTAGTTTATTCACCAGTACCAGAACCCGTGTCGCCTGCCTTCACTGTCGCGTCCACTCGTCACTGCTTACATTCACCAGCTGATGATAAAAAAATCGTGTGTGCGCGTGTACATACAGCACATGTTTGTTTAGCTTAACAAGCGGCCCTCAAGCTGCTACTTACTTAACATACGCATCAGAAGCCTTTGTTAAAAATTCAAAATGCCTTTGTTGTAGCTTGTAACAAAAAACAAGCTTTAAAGCTAGATATTCTCTCAGTAGAAAGTTTTTTTTTATTAGGCAAAATCTACTCAGCAAGACATAATGGTAGGATAGCATACAGAAGGCGAACAATATTTAAACATGAATACATATAGCCTCGAAAACGGCTACAAGGATTCTAATTACTTTTAAAAACCCAACTAAACATATTAAAAAGACAATCTCGAATTGCGCGTGCTATGAGACTGTGGTGTTCCCATAGTTGAGTGCATATACTCCATATTGAATACTAAACTGGCTGAATTTTGCATGATTAAAACCACATAAATGCCAAGAGTAAGGGTTTCCTTTTCTCTTTTTAAAATGGATTCACCTTTTCTATAATAATAATATAAATCTTATTATTGTTGTATTTTTCAACTTAAAAATGCCTGTCAGTAAATGCACGCACTTAACGCATTTGCTTGTAGTTTAAATTTAATAGGTACTGGTACTCTACAAGGCCACACACGCTATGCGGCGACATACGTGGCAACAAATGGGTTCATATAAAATTAGAGCGGCTACTCGGTTTCGATCCTATACACAAATTTTGCTTGTGTTATACATAACGATAAATAGATATTACCTTCTGTAACCTGACTCGAAATATTCGGGACTTGTTATAGTTGTGTATACGAGATCCTCGCAGGCTGATCACTGTATACACTCCCGTGTGTTCACTGTTGGCTATCTCTGGCATATGGTACGCAATTGTGAGAATTAGGCCTCGAAGAGGCCATCCCGGGAAGTTGGCGTCACCAGAAGGATCCGCAAAGACGACATAGACGTGTGTTGAACATTTTCTCCGTACTTCTTCTAACGGAAGCTCCTCTAAAGTTATTCTATCCAACAGCACGAACATTTTGCCTTCAGAAATACCTGTGTGTATGCGATAAACTTGCTTTGTAAAGCTCCTACTTGTACGAAAAAAGGTCCTTCCATAGACTAAGTACATGTAATTGCTTTTTGGTCCACTACTTTAATGATGCTTATATAGTGCAACGCTTTTTATACAATTTACCGTGATTACACACTTTCTTTTCACGTTTTTCCTAAATAGTCGGCGAATCGACCCCGGGTATCAAATCTCGCTTTTAGGAGGAGTATTCCCTCCATTTTTATTTCTCTTCTTGATTTCGAATCAACGGAGCCGCGCTTAGTCATCATAGAACAATAGTCATGGGTGTGCTATTGCCCTTTTCAATCAGCGCTGTTTATGACCTGATCATTCATAGGTTAAATTTATATTAGACTGATCTGTATATGCATATATATTACATAAACAATGGGCAAAATTTTTTTTAATTCTTTTAAACTACGCACGTTTGTTAGAACTAGACGTTGTTGTCTTCGGCCTCTACATGTATACATGCATATGTACATTTTTTTTATTATATTCGCTATCGTGCATATGTATTAGGGGTAGTACGTCAGGGCATGCCAAAAGCAGAAACAATTACACAATTTGGGTGAATACAAAAAAATGTTTGTATACAATGACATTACAATGTACTAAATAACAAAATATGCACGATAAATTTTGAGACACTAACCAGCAATTCTGTTCATTTTGTCTTCATTAAAGTCGTCGTCATTAATTAGGCGTAATGGGTCGACTTGGGTGAATTTCACCTGGGGTGGTAGGCCCAGTGCTGGGAACGCGCACCAATAGACATAATCAAACTTCTTTAGATCAGCAAATGAGAGAAGAATAATCGGGCAAAGATGCTCTGACGGATGCCGAAGGGCCTCACCAGATATGATCGCTTCCACCATCTATCGAATAAGTAAAAGTTGCAGAAAAAATAAAGCACTGATAGACAGACTAAAATGGTGATTTTGCATGAAATACCTTATTAAAGAAAATCAATGGTGGTTATTTATGCTTGATTAAGTTTTCGAAACAAATCTGGCACAAGGATTAGGCAAATGAATTCATATCTTACTAGATTCGCTTAGCTTTAAATTTAACTAACAAGTCATTTTCAGACACCTTATTTCTGTCGATACTTTTTATAATTAAATATATTTATTAAATTTTTATATAATTTTTATTTATTTTCATTAAACAATAGGTATATATAATTCCTGCAATGACTAACCTTAATTACCGCTTCTTTGACGAGATTATTTTTGTCACACCGCTTGAACGATTCGATACTGTTCTTGTTGAAAAGTACACCACGCAAGCTTAATTGGGGATAATTTTCCTGTAATCAAACCAGCTTGTTAAATTATATAAAGCTTCTCATTGATAGCTTAGAATTTTGATAATTTAGCTTTTTAGTGTACGACACAAAACCCGATCATTTCGGAACATGCTTTTAAATTCGCGTACTTCTCGAAGGGCATTGTACCCAATGGATGCAATAGCGCGTGGAATATTGTGGTTGATATCATATTCAGCCCGAAACTTTACTGGCTCTTCACTGAGCTTAAGTTCGTTAAGTTTCTTGGTGCTCAACTTATGCCAAAAGTTGAGATCGATCTGAGAGGTGAACGGCAGGTAACGGAGGGGATCTTCGCTCTGACTGTGAGATGGCATCCTTGATTCGGATCCTGCAGCATAAAGCAAAACTGATTTCTAAGTTATATATTCTAGCATAGCATTGCAAAGACATCAATCAAACTTATTGACCTTTAAACAATTATCGCTACATTCCTCTTATGAAGGTAAATGAAATTAACTTTTTTTATACAACCCACAGTATCATTTGTTTCGTTTATCGCAACTTTATCTTTTAAATATGACTTGCAAAACTCTGCTACTCCCATAATAAATGCACGACTAAATGAGGGCAAGACAAGGGGTAAGTATGAGAATGACATGGCAGATCTCAGAAACTATAAAGAATGCTTAGATTCGCCTACGGATTAGAATTATCTATCGGATAATAAGTAAAGAGCTATACTGAACTGTACTAGAGTACGACAAACATTGATTAAACTATTACATTGCCACGACATGGCCTTTTAATAGATACTGAGTGCAGTATACTACTAAAGCAATCATGCATTTGGTACATTTCACATATAATGAAGAGCAATCTTTATTACAGTGTTCTATTTGAGGGCTTAATTTCTCCATGGCGTGCTGCTATGTTTCGAAAATAACTTGCACTTTGCACCTTGAGTTGTACTCGTCTAAGTGTCGGTGAAAAATTTTCAAAAACTTCACAGAATACTCAGAAAAATATTCACATGTAGACACAACCTAAAGAGCCGCTGCTATCGCGTTTCGTGTTTACGTTGAGACTGGTCAGCTGATTTAGAACATAAGCTGCGATTACTGACAGGGGAAGGAAGCCAGCTGAATTGAGACAGACGCAGACGGGAAGCGGAGAAGAGAGGGACAGATCAAGTGGTAGATGAAGACCGTTCGGGCCGATTTTACCCATTGCTGCATGGAGCCATTATTTGTGTGAGCGCGAAAAGAGTCGAAGACATGTGGACATAAATTATTTCTCTATTAGAACGGACAGTTTTCGAAAAGGTTTTGTCTGCAATATACTTGTGACAAGTAATGATTATAAACATAAATGAATGATGTTGCGCCTCTTAACGAATATACTCAGTCCACTTCAACATGCCCTTAGTATTGTGACTTATTCAAATTAGCTAGGAATAGATAACTAAATTGTATTCACTTTATCAAACAATGATCTGTATACGAATGCTAATATTATTGTTGCCATTACTGTTAGGTCCGAGACTGAGTGGCTGCTGTTGCCACCGTCATTATGTATCTGGAATAGCCAATGGAATAGAATCGTGTATCACTACCCCACATGACGCGAACATTGACTCAACTTAAAACACTGTCGACCTGCTAATTTGACTCATCAAAATGGCGGTGGAGATTCGCTTATTAACCTAGCACTATAGTATTTTGTAGCTTTAAAGAGGAACTAGGTTTTCGTAGAGGTGACTTCACCATTTAGTAGAGAGTTCTTTTCTGGGACCAAAGTATTTACCATGACGATTTAAAATCTTTCTTGCCACTTTCGAGATTCATCGGACACATAATGCATTATATGCAGAAGGTGTTCCCAAATACTGTATACGCAACTTAAATGGTTATAACTAAAATTTTTATTCACATATATGTATATATAAGTATTCCTCTTAGCGCGAACGTTAAATATTTTTTATCGTTCTGGTCAATACACTGATGATAACGTTCGGTCAGTGATTTAAAAAGTCCGTCAAACATTTTCTCTAGTGCTGTGACATATTTCTACCCAATTGCGATTTCTAGCTATTTCAGTGCTGCAGATTTTATGCCGTAGATTACCCTAATGGCCCCATTTTTTTAGAGATCCTCATCAAAAATTATCACGATATGCTCTTAAATCAAGATGCACGTGATAGGTGCTCCCTTCTACTAAAAATAAAATTTCCCATGCTAAAGTCCTCTGGAATACGTAACGAAACAGATTCTTAGAGTAAAGCTAGTTGCCACCGCTCGCTAGTAGCGGCACAAACGCAAAACAGTAAACAGGATTAAACTTTGGTCTAAAATAGCAACGGAAATACTTAGGTTTAAATTTATTAGTGCGTGCCATAATAGTAGGTCAGGCTATTTACACATGTTTTAATATAAAGCCTAGGGCCGCCTGCCTGTGTGCTTGAAAAAAAGAAAAAAAAATTCTCCATTGCTAAAACTACACCCAGTGGCGTCTGAACGTACGCACCTGTACACCCACTCTGATTGCAGGTTTCCATGGGGACAGACGCTGGAAATACCTTCGGTGGAACTCCGACAACAATTACATCCAAGCACACCCTTCCTAAACTGAGGATCTAAAATGGCGCATATATGGAATCGCTTCAGGAGACCCCGCACAGAACTTCGAAGGTGTTACAACATGGTCACGGATTCAGCTTGGGCTCTTGCTATCCGGAATAGCGCTGTGGTCTCTTTATTCAGTATAAAGCTCGCTGACAAATACGTATTTAGAAACATCTCCTCCTATTTTATCTTTAATGATGATTTCGTGCAGACGAGAACGCGCGGCTTACATTCCTCTGACATCGGCTTCCCAACCCAACGGCAAGCACCGATAGAAGCTTTGCGTCCGACGCTGTTTTTTATGGCGTGCCACGCTAATGCACCGAACCTGGCTATTATTAGCGCTGGGATACTTAACTAAACGACTTAAACACGACTGAGGGCGCTGGCTGATGCTGCCAACTGTTGAACTTCAGTTACAGGTAAGTGCATTTGGAACTTGCATGCAAACTTCGCAAGGGCCTTTGTGGGGTTACGTGGCGACGCTACAGCAAAGCTCTCACATTGCCACGATTTCTCGACGTTCTCTAAGAAATTCTTGAACTCTGACCACAAGCTGACACACTTTAATATAAGCTGCTCTTACTGGAGAAACGCGTGCGGGTTCCCATCAGCTTATCGGACGCCTTGTCGAACGGATGGTTTTGAACACCTCCTGTGTATTTCTGATGCCTATAACGAATTAGGACCTCTCGACTGAACTTATTTATGCCACCGTATGTAGACATTCGTCGCTCTCTCCAACGGCCTAATTCATTGCCCAGATTTCCAACAGTCAAACGCTCCATCGTGGTTTCAAGCTAAATTTTACCGACTATACGCAGGCTGTTTCAAGCGAATCCGACAGGCTTCGAGATTGAATAACTCTTAGCTGGAATGATGTCTTGTATTATGTATGTACAGCTTTATCTTTGCCATCTGCCTTCTTATACGTAACTTCTCTATCTGAGACATTTCGAAGTCAGTATATATTTGATATGTTTACCCATCAGTTCCCTTTCTTAGGGCATGAAATGCCCCGTAATTACATATACTTAGATCGGAAGAAAAAGTAAATTAAGGCCAACGTTAGATATTGGTTTCCTCAATCCAGAAGGTTACTGAGGCATGGCAATGAGCTGTGGTGGTGCCATCAATCAACCAGGTTGCGGACTTTTGATTGTCGTGAGTATCTCGAAGAACTCGAAATAACAGGCTGCGTTCATCGTTTCATTTTTAGTAAGTATCTTATAGTAGCAGATGTCCTTGATATCCATTGTAATGATGACCATCACCTTAGGTTCGAATCGACCCCACAGTGACACCGAACCCGATTTCTCCCCAGAACGACGCCATTATCTTGGGTGGTCTGTCTCCGGCTGGCAGTTGAAATTGATCCGCACCTCATCTGCGGCGACCGTATGCTCCAGGTGGATTTTTGTTAAGTAAAGTTCCATGAATTTGGAAATATAGTGGAATACATCACTCGCATTTTCACCTGGCCAACTTGTCTAGAGTCAACTTACTAGGAACTCTTTTTTATTCAACTTCTGCAATTTCAGTATTTGAGAACTAATTTTGTACGACGTTATATGTTGAACGCCAGTTTTGGCCAAGAAAGCCCTAAGATTTCAAGCTCTGCCTTCGTGAAAACCTCCTCGATTACGGCAATGTATCCTTGCTTTTTGGGTTTCGAAGGTAATCTCCTCGCTAGTCTTCAATGCTCCATCTCAACTTCGAAAATGTTTGCACCATCCTCGTATTGCCTTATTTTCCTAAGGTTTCCTTGTCTTCTCTAATGTCTTCACCAATCTTTGATGGTGATTCCGATTTTTGCTATGTTGTCTGCTTTAACTGCGTACCAAAGTAGGCGTGTAGTTAATATATAACTGTTTTTTTTTTTGGCTTTTGCCCAATTTAGGACGAGAGTGCCTTGTGACGTAAATCCAAAGAAACTTTTGATTATTTCCTAATCTTTGACTTTCGGTGCCATGAATGCCCTACAAAGATATCACTCCTCTTAACAAACACTTCTTCGTTCTCCCCCTTCCTACGTGTCCAGTCGCATTAAGTACACTAATAATTAAGCATTCTAATCTACTTACATAGTACTAGATCATCGTCCACTATGAAATGCAGAAAACGTTGATCTCGTATCTTAAAATGGATGCCTATCTTATTATTGAGTAAAATTTTAAGCCGATATTTTGTTTTCAAGATGCATTTAGGATTTTTGCAGTCTGAGACACTTTGTTCGAACATCTTTACTTGACTTGTTGGCAGGCAAGTTGTAATGAACCATGAAAGACCCGAAAATTAGCGTCGTTTACTAATACTAATATCCATATATATATATATATATATATCTACTTCTAGTATCAGTATGTGTCGTTGGTTTTAAAATTTTGAAACTTAGACGAAAGTGAAATTTCGTGGAAGATAAATGCAACTAAAGTGGCGCGACATCATCCTAAAAGAATGTACAACTGTAATAGCTTGTGGTGTCTGTTTGGTAATTTTGTGCAGGTGTTATCCGCCATAACTTCTTCAAGTTCTGCTTCGTCCATAACGGCTGAAGTATACTCTGAACGGTAAAAAGAGATCAAAAACAAACATCTCATTAAGCAACCAAAAGTTGTGAGTAGAAGTAAAGCACCTCCATTACGCGGCAAGGCTTAACGCCACCTCACGAAAACCACGGTTGCATAAATGCAGAAGTTACAGTTACTCTCACACACAACTCATAACTGCTTCCATATAGTATCTTTTTTTGGAATCTTGACAATTTCTTTATAGTAGTAGCGTTGTTCAGATTTCAACATGGTGTCAAAGTTGCCTGTTGAGACTTCATGAACTTTGGTCTTCTTAAATTTCTGCACCAGCGGCATAAATGGCTTACCTTTGATGGGCTCGCAGAGTTGAAGTTCACTGGTCGTACTTCCTACTAAATACTTTAGTATATCTTTTTGTCTTTTATTTCTGACGAATGTTACGTAGATCACATAGAAACGTTTCTTAGGATTTATAATCAGCAGGTCATTTTGGATCTTCTATGATCGGGTTAGGTTGGGCAAAAAACTAAAGCTAGGTAATTGTAAAACTTCTGGCAGGGCGAAACCTCATGAATCTTACACGGCAAAAATATAGCAACTGAGACCGATGGTTCAAGCAGAGTGATATTTCAAAGCCTCTGCCGCTTTATTATCGATAATATCTTCTCTATAATTTTGACAATATAATTTTTCATACAAGCACGATCTTTTTCGAGCAGTCTACGTATTACACAAACAATTAATTGTTTCATTACGTTATAAGTCAATGCGTGTCTCGAACAGCGCATTCTACAAAAAAAGTTTGCAGAAACCTTACCTACACGAGACTAGCCTGGTCTGCCTCCTGTAGACATATTTTATTGACCTTGGGAATTGCCGATGTTTGATTGTATCTCACACGATTGTGGAATGTGCTGTTCTCATAAACGAGTTCACATTTAGGCGTATTGTAAAGAGGTGCTGTTTAGTAAGGTGTGCCATTAAAAGCTTTAATAGCCGGGGAAAGAGTTAGCTTCGTTAGATAACTTCGCTGCGATTCTAAAAACCATATGACGAAAAAGAATGAACGCATTGGGTTAAATCCTGTGAGTATTTTTTGTTGCTAATTTTTTGAAACAGCATCGTTACTTAGGTAAAGCTCGCTCTTCAATTTCATTCTAGCTTGAAAACCGTTGGTTGGACTGGTTGGCTATAAACATATGTCTCCCACTGCAGTAGACCGGTTGCTAGTATCACTAGGGAGGAGTGTGCATAATCAATACATTGAATATCGAAGATGATCTCCAAACTATTTTGTTCCGTTGCACCATGCATTTTGCGCTGTAGACAAGGCCTTCGTTCCTGACTTGTAACTTTCTTTATAGGTACATTATCATCCGTATATAACTCCGTTCGTATAATATCATACATACCTGTACGTCACCCCTTAAATACTCGTGACAGGCATTTACCCTGTCAACGTAGTGACGATCGCTTTGGGATTTAACGAAGTTTTATTGACGTATACGCCATATTGCAGGTTAAAATATGTTTATACCCGGACTCCATTTGCAAAACTCGCAGGCTTTAACAGATAATCGATTTTTACAAAATAAAAAAAAAACAGATTTTGCTCCTATTTAACCTAGCAACGTTACACATTTACAACTTGCAAGCCTAAAAAACCTTTAAAAAATGTGTAATTAGTAAATGCTAACCACGATTGGTGTCTTCGATAATACTATTATGATCAGTCTTGCACTAAAACATATTTTGACCAGTTGTTGAAACGTTATCACATGCTTTGTTTCAATAATTCCTGTTGCCTCAACTGTTCGATAATCCTTATTCAGGTTATTCAGTGCCGTGTTCCAGCCATCTTGTGAGTTTGCAGCTGAATTATCCTGAACTTCCGTTGCAGTTAAGCTATCATTAATAACTTGCTACTTCATTAGAGATATTTTTATATCTCAAGGAAAAACAGACAAGGTCTTTTAATATTGCGCTAAAATTTTCGGCCGCTTTTAAGACAAAGCATAGAAGCAGCGCCAACTTGATAGTTTGGAATAACGTAAGTGTTTCTTTTTCCATATTTGGTTCCATGGCAGACAATGAGAATCATTCCGAAAGCGAACTTATGCCGATCTCTTCTTATTGTTAGGGCCAAGTCTTTACAAACAGCCACAAAAGTGGTTAGGGTCGTTTTTTGGATGGTCCGGATATGCATGAGTCTCACGTGTATGTATATTTTGCAGTGCAAAGTTTACAGTGGAAACCAGGGATGAAAAGATCGTAAGCATTTTTGGTAAGGTGCGCTTGACAACTTGACTGCCCAAGATGCTCAACCCTGTATGTCCAACGTAAGTAAATCACATAAGAGTAATTGTGATAATCAATTTGAATGACAAGTCCGCAAGTACAAGATTGCCTCAGTGCTCATGCCCACATAGAAAACGTAAATCCTATAGTTGCACTCCGACGTATCTTGACGTCCCAAAATTCAGCAGATCATGAATTATATACTGCGGTGTTCTTGAGGATTTACTTGCTTTTTTCATAAACTAACACGGATGTGTTGAGCAGCTTCAATTTTGTTTCTTTGAATTAGAAAAGTGTTGGCTGACTGTGGGTTTTATAAAAAAAAAAAAAATTGTATGGTTACTTGGTTTAAAGTGTTCACACATTTTGTTGGAAGTTATGGCTTGTTCCTACTTTTTTTAACAGAAGCTTAAAAGTAATATGAAATCTTTATTTTGACATTCAGAACGACAAAGTACACTGTTTCATGATGAATTTTCCATTGTTGTAATATTTTTTATTTGTTTACTTGAAAACGCTAATTTTTCTGTGATTCATAGTTTAAAGTAATCAAAAACGTACCTCTCTTCCTTTTCTCTGCTCCCCGCTCGATCTTCATTGTAAGGTACCACCACTTTTGTTATTACGATTCTATCCGTCAGTCAAAGCCTAGTGTTTTGTTTATTGATGTTGAGTATTGGAACCGTCTGCTTGTAGATGGCGGTCTGCGTAGCCTCGTTCCGCTGCCTGCTCAACAAATCATAGCGCTAATAAGCGCGTAGTGGCAACAGTGGTGTCGGTGTAGCTGTACTCGATAAGCAATCAGCCTTCGTCGTCCCTGCTCACCGTGTGGCTCTACGGTGCCCTCGCCTATTTTCCGCCTCGCAACAGTTGTGCGGCTGCCGCCACCGTCGGCGACACTTCCGCAGCTGTTGGTGCTGCCCTTTCCTGATACAGTTGCCGTTGCTCAGGAACGCCGCCGCCACCACCGTGCCTGTCGAGGAGCGCCCTCTCGGGACATGAACATGAAGCGAGTAAGAGTGGGACGATAATGGCGACAGCAACAAAGTGGTCCCTACTTTCGCTCAGTTGTTTCATTAACCATATTTAAGTACCACATACAACATGCCTAACGATGATATGTATTTTCAGTACGATGTTACGATGATGAGCTTCTGACACTGTAACAGCAACAACAACTACTTTTGCTGATGCTGCGGATCCTGTTGACATTACAGTGGCTCAACTGCGCAAACGTGAGAAGGCGGCGGTAGCGATGGTGGTGATGATGGGATAGCAACTCCCTCTGGTGGTGTGCATTTGGTCTTTTCAGCCACACTCCCTCGCATTCCCTTTCCTGGCTGCCGCTTCGGGACTCGATAGGCTGAGGAGGAAGCTGCTGATTCGCACTGTCTCCAGACCCTCCTCTGGGTGGCGCTGTACTTTAATGCAAGAATTTTCGAGTTGCTTTGATGATCGTGCATTTGTCTTGGGTCGTCAATGGTTTCCATTTTTTCAAACCCATTTTTTGTAGGAGCAGTAATCTCGCCATGATATGTTTGTTTACGATAGTAATGACGAGAATGGCGCACACAGTGCGATCAGAGTAAGTGGCGTGTCTTTCCTGTGAGACCAAAACGTAGTTGATGGAAAAACGAAAAACCCACCCTGGATTTATTTACAGTGTTTTTTAAACGCATGCTGTCTACGCCTGTAGTCCAGCTAGCAAATCGTTTTCCTGTTGTTACCATTGGAATTATACCACGGAACTTTGTGACTTAATCATTGCAGAAGTGCAGAAGGACTCCAATGTTACATACAAGCGCATACGATTTCCGTAACACTGTGACTGCGTCGCAGTGACTGTAATTTGTGCTCCACAAGTAATTACCGCGCGAGTGCAATCAAATCAACCGATAACGCTGCTCCCATGCAGAGCAAGCCTTATATTCTCTATTACCTGGTTGTTTTTCTGTTGCAATAGTCGATGCCTTGTAGTGCAGGTGCGCTAGATACGATTGGAAACGTGCTCAAGCAACTGGCGGACTTAGTCATGCTACTTCAGGATTGCAGCTGCGGCGTCTGCAGTTGTTAACCGGCGGATGTTAAGCGAGCAGGTGGGTGAATATCATCGATGAACACGCTGAACAAATGATGATTTTCTTAATGTGATGTTCTTACAATCTACGATCTTGGCGTGTTCATATACAGCTTGTTGCGTAGCGAGTCTAAAGCCTATTTGGCGCGTACTTGTTATTAGTTACATTCTGCAATACACTATTCTTGCAAAACGTTCTGCTGGTTGCAACTTCAAGTGTTTGGCGGTATTGTTGCTTACTCTTCGGTTACAGCTGATTTTCCTTAAAAGGCTATTTTACACCGAAGCGTTTCTCCCGCGAAAGAAGTCATTACAATGAAGTTTACTCACTCGTCAAGAGGGATTACCCCGGAGGTCTATTGGTCCATCTGTCTGTTATTTATTTTTTTGCTGCCCCCTGGTGGCAAGTGGATGATTTGCCACTGATAGTACAGCTTTATTCTACGTACGTTTCCGGGCAAACTGTGTTACGACGCCCTGCAAGGAACAAGCGCGTGATGATCGTTAATGTCATGTATACTAGATACAAACACGCACTTGTAGATGGGAGGAAAACTTTTTTGTTTGGCTCGATGAACCGTATATATCTAACGTAGGAGAGTATTCTCCTCTGTCTACTGTGGCGTCATTGTTTTTAATGATTGCGCATACATACGACGCAATATCATTTGACGCGATATGTATGCCTGACTTCCTGCAACGTAAACACTTGCGTGCGGATTAGCAACGAAATAGGTAGATACTTATTTTCACACCTATATCTGCTGAGGAAACGTTAGATAAAAAATGAAAATGGGCATATGAGTATTATTGTCTGCTCTGGAGCTTCATGCTATAAAGAAATAAATGGTAGACTTGACATAATAATATAACAGTATTGAAACAAAAAAATATCTGCAAATTCATCTAACTGGCAAGATTTTCCTCTTAATTTCTTTATACCTAAACTATCAATAAACAATTTCCCAAAGACTTTAGAGACTGCCATAATAACGTTATATAGAGACGTTTAATGAGGAATTGCTTCAATGATAATCTTGCTTGTTGCTTTTCAACGCTAAAGTTATGGTCAGCGATACATTTTTTACAAACTTTTTTGAAACCTTTAATGAATTTCGGGATGAATCTTCATAACAATATTTGATATTTTTTAGAAAAATCATATTTGGGTTTATTACTCCATCTGAAGCCTAAGATAAGCTATGCATCTAAGCCATCGATGACAGTGATGCATAGATTATCTTACGGATATGGTAGGTGGGTGTATCAAAGATTTCCAATGCAGCTGAGTAACTGTGCATCGTGTCAGCGATGTGCGCCAGAGCTTTGTGTTGCATTGTTCTGGGTTATTTCTCGCATAGGCGCTGCCCTTTACAGTTGTACAGAGTGGGCTTGCCTGGCCTACGAGGCACACAAATGATGGTTTCCTTCATTAGCTTTTTCACTTCAAATATGCCGGATCTGTTCCACCTTTTGTTAGCTCGCAGCATTTCTTCATCAAACTCGTAACTTGTTATCCATGATTTATCTTATAGATATCACACTGTGACAGGCTCTGCAACGCCGAGAAGCAGGCCAAAAAATGCGCAGATTTTGTCTATCGATTAAGGAGTGGGAACCTTACTGGGAATTTCTCTGTAGATGTAGAGGATTCTTTACGGTTGCATATGATAAATCCAAATCTCAAGATATAACAGTCGCACTAATCGAAAGATCTTCTTCAAAAGATTGGATTTTCTTCGTCGTTATCAAGCAAAAAAAGTCATCCTAGGTACAAAGTATATTTGAGGTGTAAATACTTCGTACAACGTTTCCTGAACCAATCGATTCAGCTATGCTTTCCAAGGGCAGCACAAATTCCAGACATCTTTGTTATAGTTAGAGTTCTCTTAGTTAGAGTTTGAAGAAGAACATCGCAGGCGTCAGAAACTCACGACAGTAGTGCGCTTTGAATGCCCACACAATTGTTTCTATCAGCAAATTGAGTATTTTTTGGTGCGAATTTATTTGCAAAAGGATCAAGTAAAGCAAATTAGAGTTTTCTGTAGTATAATTAATATTAGTACTAACCGCTTCTAGTGTTTCAGAGGATGTTTTAGTCTTATAAGATAATAATATTTGCGCATTAAAAGGATACGGGTAAAAAGCGAACGCCATCTGCGGGTTTTGTGCCGCTATAGGAAAGTAAGCAAAGGCTAGAAAGGGCTAACCACAGTGGCAACGGAGATTCTTCAAAATGTTTCAGTGTCAAACGATGCCTGTCAGCGCAACAAACAGTACGTAGAGATATGTCGTTACGATAGATGTAGAGTCTTAAACACAAAATGAGAGAACGCGCTCGATAGCTTACTAAGTGATCAGTAGCTACCTTAAGCTGTGTCTCATCAAACTACTATTCTATTATGAAACTATGTTTCCTTCGTAATCTCCCTTATTTAAAGGTAGACTATCGACAAATACGTTATCAGGTAACACCGAAATTGGTTCAGTAGCTAGGACTTAATACGACAGAAAAAAGACTCGCCAAGGTAATGGCTGTATATTGCTAAGCAGCTCCCAATAATAGCGAAAACCATACATATATATATATACCACCTCACATATGTACAATTTCGATCAAAAGCCCTGAGACAATGAATATAAAATAGTGAGAACATAATCACTGGTTCTTCTATGGAGGTTTTCTGTAATCAAGGTCAAAGCAGAGGCCATGCGTAATATACACGAATAATACGCCAACTGTGAAAAAACGATAAAATGTTTTCCTACAGTATAAGGCTGTGGTACGTTTGCCACGCATTTCATGAACTCTGTCGTTAATCATTTTTCGATCCACGTGAAAACATCAAATTACTGGCTGAAAGAATGAAAGAAAGAATTTACATTTCCTGCCTCGCTCGCAGATACACACCTGCGTTCTTCTTTTTCTCTCATTGTGTTTAACGCAATGATACTTAATCGTGCTACGATGCTTGCTATGATAAAAAGGCGATGACATATATACTTCTCTGCCAGTAAATCAACAGAATAAGCAAAGGAGTCCAGCTGGAATAACGCTGATGTCCACTATCATCGCTTCTCCACTGCCGAGCAGACCGTTGTTGATTCTGAGAAGTTCGCGTTGCCAGCGATTGGTTACCCAGCCGACCGTTCACAGCCTCACTAGCAAGTGTTGGTCGGCTTGACTGCTGACGAAAGTTTGGTCGCTTACGATGAATTCGCACAAACCCACGAACAGCCATGAATGATGTTGAAATTATAAAAGAAATGTATTCGATCGGTTGACCCAGTCGATGTTGACTGAGTGAAATAGATATTTTCTTGCACAAAAGAAACTGGTTCGCTCGCAAAAGATTCACTTTATTTCCCGGCAGAGGCTAAAATCCCTAATGATATAGGCATCAGACCTCCGGAGCTAAAGTCCCCGATTCGTTTGACGGTAGCTTTAACACCGTAGTCAGATGCAACAGTTTTATGATTACTCACGAATGATACACTTCGATTAATTACTGTCAATCAGATCGATACCCCATAATTATGCTAAAGATTTCATTTTTAGCGTTGCTAACAGAGACAGACCAATTACGACATTTTGTTTTCAATAAATGTGCGATAGAACCCATGTAAGATTTTTACACTAGCTGATCAAATATGAACCAGAATCTTTAGCGTCATTGTAGTGAAGTATAGTTCTAGGTAGTAATTAGTATATTAGATCGAACTAATAGGACCGAAATTTTTTGTCGTTAATATCCTCGCAACCGAGACTAAATATTTTTGTTAGATAAACGGTTCCATTTGTAATGTATTTCTTATTTGTTAAGTTCCTTCATTTACTACCTTGTAGCTGTGATACTGTATAATTGATACAATATTTAGTACTTTGTTACGATTATAAGGCGAACATTCGCGAGTCTCAATTTGGTAATTGAAGTCCAACTTGTGCAACCGGTCGTTCAGGTTGGATTTTTTCAAAGCCGTGATGAACCTTCAATGTTCAATAGCATTTTAAACTTTTCGATTTTAGTTGTGACGCAATGTGGTAATGATTAAACTACTCCAAGGGATAGCGTACCATTATCTTTATTATTATCTATATAAAATTGCTGGGTAGTGCCCAATTTGAACTCTAAGGCTTCTACCCAGAGGAAGGACAGCAATAAACATATAATCATATTATATAAAATAACGGTATCTTAATAATTTAAGAGCCTTAAAAAATGTTGTCTAAGTGTCCAGGGGAACGAAAGTCGCCATAACTGAGTGATATATCATAACGGTTATATTGACAATGCCGCTCTGAGCAAAGGACCACCTTCATCACTAATGAGCGTTCAACGTTATTATTTCTCTGCCGGATACCGATGTATGCCAATGAATCGGTGTTCGCTGTTTATTGATTGACACACAACTCCGCTAATCCATTGCCGCTGGCATCACTTTGTCTACCTTCACGTTGCCTCTTTTATTTCCCAGCAATTGTTTGGATTACTTTTGGCTAGAGCATGACCTACCAACATCGGCTTTTGTAGCATATACTGTTTTGCTGCTCTGAGAAGGTGTCATCATCATGTAATTGTTATAAGAAAAACAACAGCTGTGACGAATATTAACACACGTATGTATTTATTTTTTATCAATTTCATTATATATTCATTACTATCAATTTTCAGTCTGTCTTGGAAGTTTTCTACTATCGCAGCAACAGTAGAGCAGCAGTGTTTTGATTAATTTTACAGACGATTATATATTTTTATAGAACAGTTAAGTAGATTGATACTTCACAGTTCTTCTTAGATTACTAAGTTATGGAATGATATTGAGGAGTTGGCATTTACGCACTATTAAGTATCACTTAAGTGTCCCTGTTCACGAAAAGAAAAAAAATAGTGGAAATCCAGATTGTTAGTATTTCTAGTTGGTTCTAGTATCTAGCTAAGTATACGCGTTAGTGGACTTGAACCACAAATTCGCTAGGCCTAAAATAGGATTCAAATACTGTTTTAGAATAGAAGGTGA